ATCTAGATGGGTGAGGAGAACACCTCTATCTCATCAAAAGCACACCTTTATAGGTCTAAAAAGACGCATTACAACAACAAAATCAATCCTAAACCACCTACCTTAATTCAGTCCACCCTACATATCCTAGCACACAGACATCTGACCTAGCTTGAATATGGGAAATAATTTTGCCCTCAAACTCTTTTTCACTTCAACGAGGTGTTTTCTTTCCAGCTGTCAGTTTTGTGAGCTGTAAAGTATAGAACATCCAAGTACGCTCTAAAACCTGAATACAGAGATACTCATTTTCTGAATTATTGCATTGGAGGCCAAAGAGAGTAGGAGAAGGGATGAGAGACAATTCCAAAGTTATTTAGAAGAGAAGCCTAATCAGTCTTGCCCAAAGGCTTAAACACCACCATTAATTTAAGGCTTTGGTTACAACAGAAATCAAAATGCCCACACAGTCCCCACTACACAGTACAATGCCAAAACTTTTTGCACCTTGCAGTTACCAGGGAAGGCAGTAATCTCCCTCATTTATTCTAGAAACAGAACCTCAAAGAACAGAGCAAATATTTGGCTCAATATACCAAAAAAATATTTAAAAAATCCACAGCAGTGAGCTGAAAGTAAAAAAACCAACAAACTCACAACATAATTTTAGAGCACATTCACTCCAGCAAGCTAATCTGAATTGTATTTCATGTCCGTACCATCAAGTGAGCAGAATTTTATCAGTCATGCTACCATCAGATTAACCTGGCCAATGTTGCTGAATTTACAGTAATATTAGAAAAAAATTAGACATGGAAGGTAGCATACCTACCTTCATAGCATGCTTAACCTTCAGGGTGTAAGAAAAGAAATGCCAATAACATCACAGATGTAGAAAAATTAATGTTTGAATATGAATATATCCTTGGCTGTTTGTTTTATGAAGTATTTAGGTTACTCTAGGATGATTTAATACCATTAGCTACTTCATATCTCAAACATAGAATGGTCAGTGAACATATTCACCAATGAAAAATTAATTTTACTACATGGTCAATAACATATCAGGCAATTAGGTAATGAACTAATTACCATATACTTAAATACTATGCTGAAAAAAGCTTATGAAAGATTGTAAATATTAATCCGGAAATTTCCAACAGCATACATATGCAAAATTCTGCATATTTAACTAGTATTCTTTTATTTCAGAAGTGCCAATAAATTAGAGGAAATTTTGTTTCACATTAATTTATATGATGAATCAGTACATACAAAGCCCATCAATTACAGTGATAGAAGTAATTAGGTTTTCAGTTCCTGTGAATTAACAATGCGTCATGTTCTCAGTAATAAGTGGCATGCATGATTATCTCTGATTGTGTCTATCTACTTAATTTTTAATGAATGTCATCGTATGTACGCAGATTTTAATTGACAAGAAAAACAGGTAGATTTATTAGTTGTTTTCAACTTTATTAGTTAAACTTATTGTGCTGTGTTAATGACCCTTATGCTGGCTAATGGAGATTTCTTAGTGTATTATTGAATGCACTCAGTGTTACATGCTTGGACATGGTGAGAGCCACGACAATTAACAGTTAAATTGCTAAATATGGAACAAACCAGCTGCATTCTGTCTCTGCATTAAAGTAAATGAGAATCTGTAATAAAGTCATAAAATGTCCTGTTGCAGACAATGCCAGTGCTAATAGACTCCCAGGAAAGTTGTTAAAGTTACAATAAGTAGTTCACCAGTAGTTCAAATGGGTCCTTCTCCTTCCCCCAAGCCCCCCATATTATACAAATATAAGGCATAATTTGTTATACTTTTATATAAAAGCTTTTAGCCTTGAGTATTATGGAGAATCTGAGTGCAAGAAGTGGAGATTTTATACAACTTAGTATACATTGCTCCTCTAATACCTTAAATATAAGATTTAACTAATAATTTATTCTCTTTTTTTTTTTTTTTCAGAATTATGAGGCTGAGTACAAAAAGGTAAAATTGGATCTATTTTGTCCCAATGGGTAGACTACTCTCCTTTTTTTTTTCCTCAGAGCTAGAAAATTCTTTGTTATGGAATCATAAACCAAAGAAGACACATTTTAGCAGAGATAGAGCAAATAACTTAAAATATCAATATTAATGTTGGCCTTGATATACATGAAAACTCTGCCATACATTTCATTACATATATTTATTTATATCCATTTATATATTACAAAATATGACACAAAATATTACTTTCTAAAATACTTGATTCCTTCCTCTTTTTTTTAATTAAAAAAAGAGTATTCACCCTCCCAACATGCAGTGTTATATATATATATACACAGTGTTATAACCTAGAACTTGATGTAATAATCATTTAATCAATATGGTGAATCAGTGCTACCCTTTTTTCCACAAGAACTGGTGAATGAGAACTATGGCCTCATTGAAAATGTACTAACAATTCAGCTATGATTGCTATTGGGGAACCGGCATTAGAGTCATATCATCAGTCATAACATAATGCTTAGGGCTTTTTTATTTATTTAAGTACATTTAATTAAAGGATATAAAAGAAAGGACACACGAGTAAAGGTCTATTTCTAGAGAAAATGATGAGGAAGATATTAACATAATTTTGTTTTTATTTCTGTACTTGTATAGGTGGACTGACATTCCTTCAGTAGTTTCATGTTCTCTCTGATGTTTTATTTGCCATCCTTCATTTGCAAGCCTTTTGGCACCTAAATCACCCTGGGCAATAAACAACTTTCTAACATTTGTCATCTAAAAAAACGTATTGCATTCAAACACTAAAGGGCCAGAGGCCACAACCACACGAAAGTCACACTTCATTTAACATCTATTACACCAGTCCTACCCACCCCCCGCCCCCATCCTCCACCTTACTTTCTCTGTCTCCAGCAGGCACAGTGGCAGCCTCCACTGGGAGTTTATGCACCCCTTCGGGGAAGACTTTTTGGACTCTTTTGCTATGTCATTCTGCAAATTGATGTTTGAATCAACTCATTCTTTAAAAATTCATGAATTTAATTAATGTCACATCCTGTTCCCTGTTTCACTGGACGTGGAACATTCACTTAGTGTTACTGGCCATAGCTTTTTCCCCGTTGATAGCAGCAGTCAAAAACAAACGGTGGGGTTTTTTGTTCTTCTTTTGTTTATTTTCTTTTCCTATTTCACATCAAAGAAATAGGTGAAAAATATAAAATTTGAAGTCCCACCCAGATGCATAGTTTAGAATTATTTGCAACTGAATATGGTTTTTCAAGATAGGTATCTAATCAGTTGTCTAAAGATATAATGCAGATCTCATTATTAAGTATTTTCTACATAAATTTGTTCTATTACAAGAGTAATGGAATTTCACAAAATTATCCTTTTTGGTTTTAAATTGATTACTTAAATTTCTTTCTGAGACCTAACTTCTCAGAAAAAAAAAACAAACAAAACAAAACAAACAAAACCAAAACCACAAAACAAACCACCAGTTTATTTTCTCCTCTTCTATTTCAGTACCCTTTTTCGTCATCTTATCCTCATTTTCTTCTTTTACATTTATTTTAGAAGGTGTGGATGCCTCCCAACCTCTGAAAACATTTGAGCAAAGAGCAAAATTTTATAAAGTGAATCAGAAGTGGAGAGATTCCAGAGAAGTTATCTTGCTGGGAAACATTTCCCCAGTTGCATACCCAAAGATTACATGCAGCTCACATGTAGGACAGTTCATGTGCTCATGCAAATACAGCTATATGGGCACATTACAGGTAGAGAGAGATGCCTTACTGGTTTATGGGATCCTTTGGAAGACCTAAAATCTTGGCACAGCAAGAGGAGGGCATGCAGTGGATATGCAGTCCCAGTGAACCATCCAACTGGGGGCACTGCAATCCAGCACCACCGACAGACACGGGGCTGCTGAGCTCTTGCTCACAGTTTGCAGTGATGACACGGCAAGGTTGATGGCACTCAGTGTCACAGCATTCTCAATTTCTTCATAATAAAGTAAAACATTTAGAAAATCAAATTATAAAGCAGTACATGTTTGAGAAGGTAGTATCAGTGTTATTAAAATAAGTTTTCTCTCTACACTGATAACCCAACTGAAACATTGTAGGCGAAAGAAAAATGAAAATACAGCTCTTACATAAAACACATGTTATTTAAGTAAACAGAAAATAGGAACCCAGTGGGATATATATTGGAATTTAATCACAGATTAAAAAAAAAAAAAAAATCAACCTTTAGAATTTCCCAGAAAAGGTTTTAGAGGGAAGATATAAACAAACATCATCAAATTAATCTCTTCATTGTTCCTAATCTCATGTGTTGTCATAAGATTACCAATGCTTGTTTTCATATCAGATATTAAATTTCACCCCTACACAATGGTTCGTTGGAGAAATGGGTTTAGGGGAAGACAAAGTAGAACAAATTAAATTAATTTTTTTGGTACTTTCTAGTTGAGATTTTCTCTCCTAGCCCATCATTAAGTAGCCACAGGAGCTTCTCTGAAGCAGGAATTGATGCAGAGAGTATCACAGCTGGAAGACATAGGTCACATCAAATAAATTATCTTAGGAACACGAATGGAAGTGTTATATTCAACATGGATTAAGTCCAGGAAACAGGTGATGGTTTCACATGTTTACTGTGAAGATTTTTGATTACAAACATGATGCAAGATAGGAAGCAGCAGCATGTTTATAGCCTGTGTTGCTCAGCCTTCCATTTGTTTGAACAAATTGGGGTAGGGAAGACCAGACCTGAAGTTCTGTGATGGCCTGGAAGATTTTATGAATAGTATAAAATGAGTAAGAAATATACTCCCCCCCCCAGTTTATTCTCATATTCCCTGGAAAACCCTGTTTTAGTCAAGGTTTTCAGTTCTCCATTTCCAGAAACTTTATGGTTGCATCTCTCTCTCCACACTGTAATCCCTTCATATCTTCTTTTGATTTAATTCCACATATTTTTTTGCTAAGAAAGAGCAGAGTATTTCCATCTCCATTTTTGAAGAAGAGCTGCAAAGTAGCTGTCTTTGTACCTGCAGGTTCTGTAGATTCTGCGAGAATGAATGCTGTGCTTCAGCAGCCAGAGTGAGGTACAAACAGTGTAAGAAACCAAGAATGATTACCAGAAACCAAAGTAAAATATAAAGAACAAAATTAGGCAAATATAAGAACTGTAGAGTTATATTTTTTAAAATCCATTCAACCATCTCAGGTTGGCATTAAGCATAAATCTTCAGCCTAATGGGATAGGATGAAGGGACCACATAAAATATCTATGCTGTATGATTGGGCTATTCAGCTGTCAGAAGAGAAATTCAATGCAGTTAAATAAGCAAGTTTTAGGTTAAGTCTTGCTCTGTCAGCCTGTGGTTGACACCAGATACAGCACTAACAGATAGTCAGAACAGGCTAACACATGTATCATTTGTGTTTGCATTCTGTACTTTGCAGCGGTTAGTTTATTTTAACAACTATTTTAAAATAATGTAAAACACCCAGATATACTTTTACAAAGTACTCTGAGGTTTTCAGAGTCACTTCATCTTAAATCTGCACAACTGGAAAGCCTCATTTTTAAAAGATTCTCAGATTATTCATACAAAATTTCAGGTTGTAATGTGGAAATAGCATCATCAGTCTGCTCACTGCAGCTCCTTGATCCTTAAATGAATTTCAGTTCAAGAATCCTTAATGTCTAATTAAGTCAGACTCCTGTTTACCAACACATTATATTTGTACAGATTCCTGGACACATTGGTGGTACAATCCCTAGCTTTTTTCCCTGCTACAGCTTTTTGTGTTCTATTTTACACTTTTTAAACACAAGCTTCTCGTTTGTAATTTGCAGAACTTCAGTTTCAAAGACTGTCAGTTAACTACAAATCTTTAGAAAGTCAAGACCTTAGAAATCTCTAAGCAGGACCAAAGAATCCTCAACTTTTTTCCATAGTTATGGTCGGACATTTACTGAAAACAGGAAGCAGAGTAGGATTCTCATACACAATAATGTCCAAAATGTTAGAAGATGGAAGTGTATTCAACAATGAGCTACTAAGATTGCCTGATCACAATCTGAACAGCGGGATGTCAGAACTGCAAAACTTTCTTTCCCCAGTTACGGACACAAACAGTCTGGCCCTGTTTGCAGTATTTCCTTACATCATTTGACAGAAAACATATAACCAAAAGAGCAACTTCATAAAATAACCTTTTGAAGCATCACAGTATTGGGTAAAGGAATTGAATCTGAAATAGAGAAAATTTAGAACTACTGCACTGGAGTAATAAATAGTACATGTATTGTTAGGGGAATATTTTTAGCTGTCAATATGAAAATTTTTTAAAGGTAGAGGAAATTAAGGATCACTATATTTAGTAATGGAATGCAAGACTTTTTAGAATAACTACTTAAGCAGTGTGAAATATGCAGATACATCTTTCCAAGTACATCAAGTACAAGAGAGCATCAGAAAATGAGGGACAAGGAAGGAGGAAAGGATACTTGAAAGCATCTTGCCATGGATCCTGACTTGAGGTTTGTGCCAAAAACCTATCAACCTAAGAGCAAATAACTATTCAGTCAGCTAGAGTGAAGGTGTTTAGGGATTGTACCTCTCTGTGCATTTGTCACAGAAAACTGCAGGGTTTAATCACAGGAGCATAGTAGACAGCTAGATTTAGGTGGATCTCTGAGTTAACAGTGATTAGATGCCTGCAGAAAAAAAACAGATACAAGATTAGAGCAGAGATTCTACTCGGATACATTTTCAGTCCCCTGACTAGAACAGACATTCAGAGACTCCATCACTTACTTTGAAGAGGTGGTTGACTGTTCTCATTGCTGCACTGCTTATTCTGAATGCACAAGAGTGGATCAGCACAGACTGTGGCTCGACAAAAGCAGTTTAACTTCCTTTTGCACTGTGGTATGGGATTCCTCTCCTCCTTATAAAAAGTTGTGATTTAACTTCAGATAAAAGCTAATATTTTGTCATGAAATATTGCTGGCTGAGAGTTGGCTAAGAGTCAGAAAACTAGAATTGGTCTGGTTGAAGTTTGTAGATGACAGATAATCCATCTGCAAAGCAATAATTGCATCTGGGAAGCAATAAAGTCTCATTTACTTTTACACATTGCTGTGTCCCAAACAAACTGTGCTGTAACAACTTAGACAGGAAAGTTGAATGTTATTATAGATGGATTATTAAAAAGCCCAATTCAATATGCAACAAAAAATTTAAAAAAGAAGGGTACCAGGCAAAAAACTGTGCATATTTTTCTAGGTTTCACCTACATTATGAATGCAGGTAAGAACAGTAAGAACCAATAAAGTAGAAAGATATCAACATCGGAAACAAAGACATGGGAATACTTCTAGTTGATGACATTTAGTCAACCAAATCTGTATCTTCAAGGTACGTTTAGAAGGGCAAGTGGTGCATGCTTTCCTTTGCTCACAATCTCTTATTTAGTTTTGTCACTCATCAAAATCTCAGGTATGATTTTGAAGTAGCCCTAGTAAGTGAACGGAGTTTTTCTTACTGCAGTTTAGAGGGTAGGCAAATAGGTACACAGGAATAATTTAATTTGGATTATGCATCTCAAAGAAGGACCACTACTTGACCAATGATTTAGGCAGAGTGAATTTACAACATAAACAACTCTCCAAAAGAGCAACAAAATAGAAGAATGAGCCTCCAAAACAAAAAAGGACAAAGAAACCAAACCCCAAATAACTTCTACAGCACTTGATTTTCTGTTGAGTAAATCTTTGTCTCACCCATGGTAACAACTGTTTCTATGTCCTAAAACACCACAATTTTGCTGTTGCCACTATAAACTGGGAAGACCTCACTAATACAAGTGGGTCATGAAGATAAACCATGTACCCTGATAATGGGGTTTACATTTTCCTAAGTAGAGATGTTATAATGTGAAAGAGATTTAATAGTTTTTCAGATGGCTCTTGATTACCTGTAAATTCTTTTTTCTTGCATCCCTTTTTCAGAATCTTTTCTCCCCTATTTCGATACCTGGTTAGACACAGATTTACTGATACAGATTTTTCAGCCTTGTCATTTGTACTTCAAAATCATAAATAACTTAAGAGCAATTATATTTTCTTTCATAATTGAGATGATTTTAATTTTCGGTATTAACTATATCCAAATGTACATCTTAGTAGTTAGTATTTAAAACTTTATTATTTAGAATTATGCATTAGACCAAATTTTGTTCTGCTAAAATCACCCACAAACACATTGGCTCATAATAATAACAAACATAACATTTCTTATTTTGTGAAGCATTAGGCTAAAATTCTAATTCTCCTGCTTGAATTTGAATGGAATTCCTGGGTATGCTACAAGCTTCTTTCAATAGCAAGTTAACCAGGCAATGATCCCTGACATCAGAAAACATTTGAAATGGGTTTTTTATTCCCTGAAATAATCCCTCTAAATACAAGGCACTGGAGCCATAGAAACATAACTAATGTGCTCTACAGAGGTATATATGTACTAAAAACCCTTCTTTCTGTGAAAGTTGCATGATCATTCATTTCAATTGCTTTTATAGAGAATTCATATAGGAATATCAAATTTGTTTACCCTTAAAGCAAAAATATTCTGATGTTTCATTTGGTTCTGCTCAGTTGCATTAAAAGTTTACATAAACCAAAATTTTTTTTAAAGCAAGGAAAACTTCTATAATAAAATGTATTTTTTATAAGCTCTAGTCAAGTATATCTTTACAAATATGTATTTTGCAGAAATAATAAATAGGAATGAATTTACAATAAGGTCTGTAGGATAGTGCTAGACCTGGACTCCTTTAAACTGAAATTCTCCTTTAAAGATAATATTCACTGACTACACTTAACCCTGTATATGTGAAATATCATGAGGAGAGAGTTTCATGTCCCTTGCTAAAATTGTCTGAAACAGCACATTGCATCCTATCATCTCCATTTGAGTCCAGGGAATTAAAATAATTCTAAAATTCTTTGACTATATTTTCAAAATCAGTTATAACTTCACAGTATTTCTCACATAAAAAGCACCTAAAATTAAGCAGTTTTTAATTATTTTCTGCTACTTAAAATCTAATGAAGATAATTGGTTTAAATTACAGAATATACCTTAGGAGTCAACATCAGTTTAACGTGTCTGATGGATTGGGTTTATCATACGTATATTTTTTCAATATAAGAAATTTTAAACAAAGCAGTTTAGAAAGTCATTTTAACAGTAAGGAGGAATGTGAAGACTTTCATCCCTAATTTCTGAGGTTCAGGGCCTCTAAAACATTCAGAACTCTAAAATCCCTTACAAATATTGGTATTTCAGAAGTCCAGACACAATGAAATGTCTAAAGTTCATGGCATACTTACAAGTCCTCTACCCTGACGTTAGTATGGCAAGGACAAAAATTAGATTCCTCTTAAGTCTTTTGTCTTCATTCTTTACATCTGTAACCTAGAAATGAGCACGAGCTGATTTTTCCCTGCTTATTTATGACCCCGTTAATGGAATTCACATGCTAAATTCATACATTAAGTTAACAGAGCCATCTTGGTGTTTGTTTTCATGTCCAGATCAATACAGGGAATCTTATTTAACTATTATTGGAGTAGTATCCTGAAAAATAATAACATGCTTTCTTCTTTAAACCTGTCAGTCTTGTGCTCTTCAAAGATAGACATTGGAGGGTGAAGGGTGCTTGGAGGTCAGGATGTTATTGTTTAGTTGAACTTAGATTTGTTATAGAAAATGTAGATGTCACTCGCTGGATATCTGCAAGATATCACAGTTTTGAAACAACATCCTCCCCTTAGAAATAATCCTTGCACACAAAATCTTGTTTTCAACATTTAAGAAAATGTGGAGCATGGGTGAAGATCTGAAAATGAAATCACAAGTCTGACACAGTTCTGGCACCTGATTTTCAGTTTTTCAATTGTTCTTAAGTTGTATATTGCTGCAATTGTTCAATCTAATCTTGCCTTGGTTTTATTATGAGGAAATCTAGGAAAAAAGGCATAGAGCTGCCACTGAGACCGTTCTGACTCAGATCAACCAAATCAGCCCAGATGAAAACAAATTATCACAAAGTGCAATTGTAGAACAAGAGGAGGATTAGCAGCTCACCTATACTTATGGACATTTCTGAAGCAAACCAGAAATTGAGGTGGCACTGCCATTGGGTCTAGGAGGCAAAGGGCATAGGAGAAACTCTTTGTTCAACCTTCTCCTTGAGGTGTGGTCTGTCCTCTCCAGACCAGCTCTTCTCACAAACTTTGTGAAGAAAAGGGGTCTAAGTCTGAAAATATAGTCATGAAAATCAATGTTACTTTTGTTTGGTGAATTATTTGACAAGAAAACCCCCAAACCACCACAACCAAGAAACCCAGGTCCCAACAGCTGTAGCTTTTTCAAATATAAGAGATGTGACAGATCCTAAATTATTAAGAAAGAAGCAATGATGAGATCACCCACATATGGTATTAAATTTAGAATACCAGTGAGCCATCATGTAAGAATAGCTCTTGATAACTAATAACCTTTATGTGAAAGGTTCCTTATCCAATTTCAATTCTGTTTTGCCTTCTCTCCTTTCATACATCCTTTCCTAGTTTAGAAAGCAACTTTCATAGGCCACAGGAAATATTCCAGAGAGTTTCATGTATCTAATGAATGCTGATAAGTTATTTTTCTGCCCTACTGGATACCTGGAACTAAGCATCAATCTGAGAGCAAAATAACAGACAGAAGTTCATTATATTCAGAGATTAGCATTGAAATTCATGTCAGCAGTTACAGAGAATTGTGTTGTAATAGTTATTTAAAATTTATATTATATCTGTTGCAGATAAAAACTTTTCCTTTGAGAATTTCTAAAAAGACAGAAAAGGCAAGAAAAGTTTCTAAAGCCATAGGTCAATAAACCAAAGTCTACCAAAGTTAATTCAAAATTCCTATTGTTTTACTTGAGCGAGGGAATTTTTTTGAGCAATCAGCTCAAAAACCTCGTGGTGAGGAATAGATAGCCATTAGCCTTCTGTCTTCCATTACCTTTGGCTAAAATCACTTATTTCTCCATGCTAGCTGCAAACATCTGTGAAGTGAATTCTGCTGCCTCTAACTGAGCAATCCACTGTTCTGACAGCAGACCTCCCACAGGCTGTTAGCATCACCATAAGGGTAATCAAAATCCACCTGTTTAAGAAATCACTGGGATATTTTTATTCAGGAAAAATACACACAAAAAAACCCAACCCAAACCAAAACCCAACCCAAACCAAAAAAACCTCACCTAATCACCCAACTCAGAGCAGCACAACTAAACTCGGTGGAGTTATAGTGACCAAAGAAGACGATCTAGTCCAAAGCCCTTACAAGAACTGTTGACAAAAGTCTAGTAAAGCCTGCACTCTTTTCCTTTTCCTCACAGGAATTCACAGGTCTACAGTTATTAACATAAAGGAGAAAATCTATATTGCTGAAGTAACAGAAGACAATATCAGCAAGGTCCCATCAATATCAATATAATATTGATAAAAATATTTATATAAATATTGATGGGAAAATATTGATAAAATACTCAAAACATAATTTGAATAATATAAATAATATAAATATAATAATATAAAAAAGGTAAGTCATTAAAGTCAGAGATAACACACTCAGGTACTAATATGCAAATCATAGTTCAATCTAAGCATTTGTTTGTGAAAGCTTGTAAAATACATATTTTTGCTTGATTGCAGAGAGATTAAGCAAAAATGCATCCTCTGGGATTCTGTTTAAGGATTTGTATTAAAAATTAGCTAATAGAATCAGTCAGCGTATGCACGTGATTTATACCAGTAATGTTTATAAAAAGCACATTTTAATACTGATCTTCCATGCAAAAATGGGGGGTGGGGTCAGGTTGGGGAATGTGGGAAGGGGGAGAACTCTGTGATTATTTGGGCAAATTGTTTTGCAGGCTTTCCCAGGAAATAGAGGCACTCCTTCAGCCTGAGGTTTAACAGGTGCAGACTGGTACAAGCCATCACGTGCAGTAGTTAGGAGAGGTGATATGACCCACAGCCCTTTCCCCAGCTGTTTAAAGAGTGAAGCTGTTAAAATCTGTATCCCAGGGAGCAGGGATCGACAGATACACTGCAGCACATCCAGTGTCAAGGTGTCAGACTGCACTCCCCAGCGGTGTGTTGAGTCAGCTGTAGGGCCAAGCTGGCACACTGGGATTTCGATGCTCACCTCTTTGTAAAGATCTGCTGTTTGATTTCCTTTTCATCTTTCCCTCAATCTCCCTTTTCTTATTCTTGGTCATTTCACTGAACCCAGAAGCACATTCACACATTCTGCCCTGTGCTTTCCCCTTCAGCACTGACAGCTTCTGGGTGAAGCACATTTAAGGGCCACAGCTGTTTGTGAAGCAACACATGTCAATCCCAGAGCTGAGACCAGAAAAATGTTTATTCTACAATGAAGCACAAGAAAATAAAATGATATGAGGGACATGTTTGGAAGCATGTAGTACAAAATTCTTACAGCAATTTCTTATAATGTTAATATCTCTTAGGAGTTTATCATGTTACTACAATATCCGAACACTTTTACAGAAACACCCAAACCCCAACACTACAGGAAATTCACAGAGCTGCTAATATTTTCTGTTGCTCTGAGGGAATAGGTTCTTACTAGCATGTTTTTATTATAAGGGGATTGGACATAAGACAAGAAGAGAATATACCCATAACAAGAACCACTCGAGGCACTACAATTTCAAAAAAGTAGCATTTATATTACATACTACAGAAAATGCTGCGTTCTTAGTGTTTGGAACAGCACACAAACACAGAGTTGCTTCTCTCAAAAACTAAACATGAGAGAAGAACTAACTCAAATATATACTGGACATCAAGAGGAGTGAACAATGCAGGATCCACTGTGCCACTTCCTGTTCAAGTCAAATAATTATAGATTTTCTTATTTATGGAAAGAAAAATTGAAGAGGGAGGACAGAGGTGTGACTACGTTACAGCTCTGCAGGCAGAGTTGCACGGAGACATCCCCAACTGAGGGGAAGACATTACCCTGTCTGAATCCCTTGACCTCTGGTGCTCTATGTGCCTTCTCTATTCACTGCAGGTAATGCCAAGCTCAACTTCAAAATTCTTTCCTCAGAAAATAAATCTAATAGCACACCAATGTAACTTCAGCCTCCAGCCCAAGCAGGGCCAGAACCAAAACAAACATAACTTTCAGTATCATGAGACCTAGAACAAATTTTCAATTAATAGCTACTAACACTGTAAAAATAACCCAGAAAGCTAAACTGTAAAGAACAACCAACTTTCTAATCTGAATTTCTTCTCAATCTGCTAAGTTGCTTCAATTGCATTCCAAATGGGGAAAGATTTCAAGTTATGCAGTAAAGCTCCAGACTATGGTAAAAAATCCAGAGCAGAGATCAGAAAAAAACACCACTCTGCAACTTCCATACATATAGTATAATTAACAGTCAGTGGAATATTTCCACAGCCCAACAGTCCTGAAACTATACATAAAATTCAGCTTTTCTGAACAGAACTTCAGCTTTTTTTCTAGTTATCTGAGAATAGATTTCATCTACAAGCACATATTCACTTAATGTATACTATAGTCACAATTCATTTTGCCAAAATCAGACTCACAGGTTGGACATCCATAAATGCCCTTGGCTGGCAGGTTGTTTCTGAAACTGTTTGGCAACCACAGCTCAATGTAGTTCTTCAAGCATCTTATATGAGTAACATCCAGTCTATCATCATACTATGGTGCCACCAGTTTTTCATTCTTTTCAGTAGAACAATCATAAGCACAGCAGAGAAAAAGGAACTGAAACTAGTGCTAGAAAGAAAAATAAAGCCTTTTTATGCTACTAGACATTCAGACCTTAGTGCTAACCACACATCATTGCAATATCAAAAAACACAACAAATACACCATAACTTCATCTTACTCAAAATACTGCACAGCACTGTGAAATGCTATACTTGTTTAGGTGATGTCATAGAGTACACTATTGCAACACATTGAATTATTAAGTGATTAATGACTGAATCCTTGAAAATCAAAATACAGAGAATTTACCTGGTCACATATAGAGAGTTTTCTTTCTTCCCTGATCCACCACCATCAAAATAATTGCTAACCTTTCCCTGGATTTGTGAGATATTGAGATCTACTTATCTGTCGTATTTTCTTGGTAAGCCTGAAATTGCTGATTGTTCCTACGTATTCCTGTTTTTATGTCTGTGGAACCAATGCTGCTGAAAGCTGACTTGTGTGTGTGTGTGTGTGTCTGCACAGGTGATCTGTATAATTTTTTTCCCTAAATCACTCTTCATTACATCTGTGCTTCTTCATTAAAGAAAATACTGATAAGAGATGACTGAGACCATTAGACAACGTAGCTCCACAGCTAAACAGGCACCTGATGATTACTGATAATAATTCATAAAAAATACAATAACACAAAGTGAATTTGTTGTTCTAAAGTGTCTCTAAAGAACATGGAAGGTAGAAACTAAAAACATGCCGTAATTGTAGAGTAAGTATATTGTATATGAAAGCTGCTGGTTGAGAATTGGGCAGAGTCAGTTCTGAAACTTCAAAAGCACTGTCAAAAATGTGCATTCAGTCTTAATGAGATTAAAACAAATTTAAGATGAATTTATATTATCATCTTTCAGGTTCTTCTCAGCGTGCTAGTCTTGTCTTAAGCTCAAACACAGCTCCCCATTTTTTTTTTGGAAATATAAATAACTATGGATACATACATATACACATATGCACTACCCACATTTAAATCCAACCATCCACAGGGCAGAAAGGAAGGCTCTGAAGATCAGCCTCTGAAATGTTCAGTGTTGAGCCCAGTTTACAACCAGAGGAATAAAAAGGCAAACAGAAAATGGACTAAAGGTCCTCAGAGCTCCATCTCAGTAGTAGTAAACAGTCTGCCAAATGACTCCATTCACTCAGGTGGTCTGTGTTTTAGCACGTTGCTGTTACCAAACCACTACGCTCAACTTCAATAGGATGGAGTGAACAGTAAGCAATAAAACAGGAAAGTAACATAAATATGTTAGTTCTTATCTCACTTTTGAAACCAGTTCGCCCATCTTTAGCAAGAGATTTCTCAAATAACAAAAAATACGTAGCCAAAATATTGCCAGCACTAACTAGCTGTGTCTTTGATCGCACTGTTTGCAAATCTGTAACAGCATTTCTTCCATCTGTTCTACAGTTCCCTTCTATACACTCCATTTACAAAATGAAATAAACTGCTTATACATTTGTTCCCAAGACCTCTTCCAAGGAGGCCTTTCAGCATATTGGTTATTGTAGACAATACTCTAAAATTTGGAGAAAAATAATAAAGCGTCGCATTGGCGGGGGGGGGAGTGGGCAAAGATTTTTAAGAAGAATTGATACAGTCTCGAGGGAAAATTTTAAAGAAATATATATCAGTTGCCACTCAGCTATTGACTGTCTCTTCAACATAACATACAATTAGTTAACAAGCTGTCTTGTTTAAAACACCAATGTAAAAAAACTAGACAGTTATCAAAATCAGACTTAAGTAGAATTCCCCACAATAGCTATGATAATTTTATGGTAAAATTATCAGTAGTTTCTGAAACGGGACAAAAAAAGTTCCCTTTTACTCTAGGTATGACACTGCAAAACAATTTGGAAATGTACTTTAAAAGGCCACCTTTGAAGAAGCTCAGAATTATCCATTACTTCATGTAGGCGATGAATCTTGCTCAACATCCCTGAAATGTGAGCACATGTGGAAATAATAGTTACAAATAAAACTCTTCTCATATAAAGGCTAAAATACATGTTAATAGTTTATATTACATCATAACAAATGACAATCACAGAATTACAACTCTTTCTGATGTAAAAAGGAAATGAGATAAGCTTCTTTAGAAGAAGACATTCCTCAAAATGAATATTTTTTCAATGGGTTACTAGTTACTTGTTTCTTTGTTGAATTAGTGCTGTAAAATCATTAAAATTATTCTGGTAAGTCTTCTATTAAAACTCTTTAATGTTGTGTATATGCTTCTGTATTTGTTTGAAACTCCTGTAAAAGAGCCATAGATGAGATTTCATTTCTGTTGTAATAAGATACTATCTTTTCTATTATTCTTATTATTGCTTAAGTGTGGCACTTAATCCCAAAGGCATATCTAAAATACTAGTAACTTTATAATGCATTACTACTAAGTGAGGGCCTAACACTTCAAAGGGCTCAGTAACTGAGCAAATAGTCCAAACACTGTTAGAATTAAATAACATGGCATGTATGAATATAATATGAATACAGTTCATGTTTCTTTCTTCATTTACAAGATGCAGTGAGTCAGAAAAGCAGTGCTTTCTGACAGCCTGCTCTACAGTGAGTAGTGAACACTGAGTCACCACCACCACCCCAGCACAGCATCATTTCTACTTGATATTTGCCATTCTATAATTAGAACAAATGACATTCTTGGGACAGAGCAAAATGCTTTTAGTTAACTTTCTGCTTAAACCCATTTACAGAGTCTTTACTGTTCCTGCCTCAAAAGATAAGGTACACAATCATGATCTGTGCTATCTCCTTTTTTAGAGACAGACCTATTATTATAAAAGTAAATGCCACCCACTTGCTAACACCGAAGACTAATTAACTCTGCAATTGCTGCTTAGTGATGAGGGTAAAAACCACAGTACCTGTTCCAGCAGATGTCTGTGGGAGCAAGGTGAGTTACTCAGCACCTGCATTTGGTTGATCAGAATCAGAAGGAAGGACCAACCTTGGCTGAGTGCTCTGAGCGAGAGAATGTTACGTCTCAAAGTGGAAAACCACTTTAACCAGCTGGCATGATAAGCGTGTTTTTCTCTCGTGGCTGAACAGCCACCACTTGATGCGAGTGGGAATGTGTGGGATCAAGGTACTGACCTGGGATGACCCTGGGAATTCCAGTTAACTAACAGAAAAACACTGGGTGCTGTTTATGGATAAAAGGGGAACGCAGAAAAGGGTCGGTGGACAAGTCCCAAAATCGAACTCTGTGTGTGCAGCCTCTTTTTCTCCTTCAGCGCTCATACTATCCTAGAAAATCAAGAAGATTAAGTAATACTTCACTGCCACCCCCCACCCCCATTCCTTTTCTCTTTCTTTTTTTCTTCTTTTATTTTCATTTATTTCTATCTTTTTTTTTTGTTCATCCTCTGATGCATTTTTTTGAAGTTTTCTCCTTTATAAGCAAGTTCTTGTGAGCAGGTCAGCCAGTGAGCTTTGATTTCAATAGCTATACTGAAAACTGACAGCTATGTAGATCCATTAACCACAGAATATTGAAAGGAAATCTTTAAATCCCAAGTATTTGTGCCAGATTTATTAAAATAAAGCTCAGTAGTTTAACTTGCACATCACCATCTATACATCTGTTTAAACCAAACTTGTTCACAGCATGAAAAAAATTCCAAAAAGATGCTAAATGCAAGTCATCCAATGAAATAAGACCCAAAAAACAACAGCCAAGGCTCACAACACCAAGATATACATACTTGGAGGGGAAAATATTAGTTACAACAGCATCAATAAGAATTTTTCAGTTCAATTATTTGGCATTTGGAATAATAGCATAAACAATTTGCAAAAACTATCTAAACTGGTTGCAAGTCAGCAACGTACTTTGGAATTTTGTACTTTACTTATATTACTTCCTGTCCAGCAAATTGTGGGCAAATTAGCTTGTCCTGATTCTTGAGAGCAACCAGCATGAAGGAGAGCATGAATACAATAATTTAGAAGCTCAGTTCTATGAACACTCAGACGTGCCAAGCTCCCTAGAAGACCCTGAGATATAAACAGGAAGAACTTAGCAATTGTTGACCTGGTATTTTTTAAAAATGGAACATATGGCCTCTGAAGGCTTCCTCTTTCTTTGGATCTAGTCCAGTAATTAGGCAGATGAGTTCCAACCTTGCAATAGGGCATAATCACTAGAGAAAAAGCTCTAAAGCTTCCTCTCTGCTGCTGCTACTACCACGCTCTCACTACTCCATAGCCCTTCCAGCTGCCACTGAACTCAGGAGCACAGACTGTCCCTGTCCTGTCCTGGCAAATTTTCCCCAAGAAAACCAATCCCTCCTCAGAGCATCCAGACACTCCATGCTTCCTATAGAAACCACACTGACTGGCATTCCACATCCTTGATATTAACTAACAAGCCACACCAAGGGGATCAACCCACCCCACAATCCTTTGATACAAAAATCAAAGTGAAATCATATATTTGTTTCCCTTCGTGGTAAACTGTGTGGCCAACAGAGACATCATTTCATATAGATTGTGGGTCCAATTTTGATGCTTTCCCATGGATTGTGCAAATTAGTAGATACACACCAATAACAATAGCAACCATAGCAGAAATAAAACATTTGCATTTGAAATTAAAGAATTGCTGGCATATAAGATGTTAAAAAGTAAAAGGATTCCTTACTACAGGAGCAAACTGTCATTTTATTCATCACCCGCTAAAAATAATTTTTTAGTGTTCAGAAATATTCCATCATTACAAGACTTTTATTCCAATCATGAATGAATCTTTTCAAAATATAGTAATTCCTGGGTTAGGGTCAGAATTGTATCTTGTTACACCCTGGAAAATATACTACAAATTTTCTTTACTCTTGAAATTAGTTGTGAATTAGTCCTGCTCATCTAGTTTTCAGGTAAATAAGAAAAAATTGAAGAATTGCAAGAATCCAAATGCTTATTTGACTAACAAAATAACTAGATTTGTTCTGTCAACTTTGAGCTAAGTGACAGATACTGCTCCCTCTATAAACGATTATCCAAGGGCACATCAGGGATACAAATTAATAAACAGGGACAAATGTTAGTGGTTAACTCATATAACCAATCCTAGTAAGGAAAATTGGTTTATTTAATGTTTCACAGAAGCTTATCTGTAGTTGATAGCAAATTGATACTTATGTGGGAACTCAATGCTATAGACAATAGGGTTTACTTGGGTTATAAATAAAATTAATACTGCAATATCTTTGGGTCAGGAATTTCATTACATATTAATACAGCAGCAATAACAAAGACACCACTTAGATAAGATCTGTGGGTACTAAAAAAATATATGAATACATAAAAAATAAAAGAATTAGAAACAAGCTACTACTATCTAAGTACTTAATTTAAAATAATTTTTTTACTTAGTATCGACTGAGTTTCAGATTTTTTTTTTTTTCACAGCAGATCTGTAACATTTATTAATGTAGATTTTATTTATAATTAAGAAACTAATTTTCTTTCAAGTTTTCCCCTATGAACTGTGGTCCCATTTTCTTTTCATCAAACACATGTAAGTTCTATTAATGCTAATGGGAGTTTAGTCTGTACATCAAGGGAAGACAAAGCCCTCTTATGTTGAACACTTAATTAATTTCTTTAAAGAGTTTCATATGTGCTATAATGTGCTAATGATTTTCATACCTAACAACCTAAAAACTTGATGGTGAATAATAGAAGGTGTCATTCTGACTAGGAAATAAAAACACTAGGAGCGTGCATGTAGGTTCACAAATATCCCAGATTCATGTAGCTACAAAATCAGGGCACAGAGGGTGATATAATTAATTTCTAGAGAGTTTTTTGCATTTCATCCAGGCACCACTCATAACAGGTTCTCCAAATAATCAGTTATGTCTTATTTGAATCTAATAGACAAGCTGGGTTTGGGGCCCTATGTTTTCAGCCTACATTAATGATTTACCAACTGTATATTTTGTGATGAGCACCTTTAATTTTTTCTCTTGTCCTGCTAAGTGTCACAGAGTTCTTAGCAGCAGTGTGTGAACACGCACTGAGTGTTGAAGCAAACAACAGTAAAAATAAAGTTATAGTGGAAATAAGTATGTAGGATGAATGACACCCAGAGGGTAATTGAGAAGGGACAGCTTGATGATTTAGTCAGAGCTGAGCTGTGCTTCCTGCATTGCTCTTGTGAGGCTCGAATGGCTACCATTAATCATGCTGAAATCAGCCTGAGAAACAATTCATCTGGCTATATCCTACCTTCTGCTACTGCCTCATTTTTGGGCTGCAAGAAGGTTAGAAGATGCTAGAGGTCTCCTTGAGTCCCAAATTTTTAACTTACTTTCATCCAAATGACATTAAAGGATCTTTCCAAGTGCCTACTCAGATGTACATCTGCCATATAATCTATGCTCAGGTGTCTCAAACCATGTTGGAGGAGGTGTTGTAGAGTATGTATTGGTAGACTGGCTACGTAGTCCTCTCTTCCTCTAGAAGAGAGCCATGGGTGGTCTTTAGCAGTACATTACAAATTACAATGCACTTCACATAATTCACAGGAGAAATTGCTATTTGGATAGTTTTGCTGTCCAAAACAATACAGCTGGACAGCTGCTACTCCAGAAACTGAGGCAAAGCAGCTGACCTGCCAACAAAAGGTCTGATACCTGTACCCACTCAGTGGTAACAAACTGGAATCAGGCATTTTTTTGCAGTGTGTGGGAGGAAATGTAAAGTGAGGATTAACTCACTTTGTAGATATGCAACTTCATCATGCAAATATGATAAAGCCTCTTAGTGGATGAAACTGATTAATTCTGCATAACTCCTAGAAGACTATAGAGAGTGGCTGAGGGAGGTCTGAGAGCAGAGAATAAAACATGGCCATGTCCTAACAGC